TTGACACTGCCCTGCTGTGGTGGCCTGCCCATGGCTGTGATGTCAGAAGCTATGTCACTGGTATGTCAAATACCAGCAGAGTGACCCACGGTGGACAGGTTTCACACGAGCTTCCAGATCAAAACAGACCAGGATGACAGTGGCCTCTGACACGTAAAAGTCCACGCAGGATCTCTGTTCTGTTCTCCTCCAGGTATCCGCCAACCCGCACCAGCTCAGGTCAACTACAGCAAACACTGTTGTGGGGGTCCCTGGGTGCACAAGAGGTTAACGTGCTCGGCTGCGAACTCAAAGGGGAGAGACTCGGGTCAAGAGGTGTCTGGGAAGAAAAGCTGGACCACATCCAAAAACGTGGCCACAGAAAACCCTGTGGATCCTGGTTCTGCCATGCAGGGGGCACCTGAGTCAGAACTGACTTGATGGCAGCTGGTGCCGATACTGTCATGAGCTACAGCCACCCTAGAAAAATCGGGAATTCCCTGTATTGCTATGTACCTGAAAAAACACAATAAACGATAAAGAAAGCGCAAAATCAAGGCACGGCCTGCTCTTGCTCCCTTGAACTGCCATCCGGTTTACCAGAAGGAAACGGAACCGACGACCCGACCCCAAGGGCCTCTGCCTGCTGTAGAGGTGCCCAGAATGACTCTCTGAACACACTTCCCAGCTCAAAGCATTTCTGTCCAATCAATAAAGCGAGACAATTATTTCAGGAAAAAGGCAAGTCCGTCCTAGGAGGGTTAGCTGTCCCAGGCGGCCAGTGGCTCTGCAGGTCACTGTTTCCACGCATATCTTAGTAGCACATGCATATAGCGCTCAAGGAGCTCACGTTTAAAGTCTCATGCAAATGCAGTAAATGGATGCTTTTTAATTGGTCCGGTTCATCGGATTTTCATTCAACGTTTGGGATGAAAAAGAACACTTTGGAAGCAAAAAGGAGTTAAGTGGAGCTGCAATAGTACAGACTCTGACGTAGGCCTCTAACGTCAAACTCTCACACTGCACCTTACAGTCTCTTGGTTGAGGTAGCCTGAGGGATGACAGTGTCATTCTAAAGGGTCCACCCCTTGCTAATGCTGAAGAGCGGTTTCCCACTCCAAGTTCACAAATACTGCTCCGGAGCGAGACCCCATGATCCCATTCCTTCTGCTCAGGAGGTTTAAAAAGGAGAATTTAAGAAGTCTCTCATACAAAACTGTTGAGAGTTCTACAGCATGTTTCTGACTGTGTGGAATCAGTGTAGGGAATGGTCTGTGTGAATTCTAGAATACACAGAGGTTGACACTGAATTGTAGAACACATGTCTTGCTTCCTGTTAATAAAATCAAGTCATGTAAGAATTATCCATTTAAGTAAAAGTTTGCTTTTTAGTCTCTGAAGTGTTGCAAGTTCATAATCACTCACAGACCTCACCATCATGCCAACCTTAAAAAAAAGGAAACTGTTTCTAAATTTAAAATGATTGTGACATCTAATCCTTCAAAGCTTTCCACAGGGAGGATCCTTAAAGGCAAAAAAGAAAAGGCATGTAAACCTCCTGAGTTTTAGAACAAGCTTCCCTTGGCTTTATTACCCAAACCACCAAACCTATTGCCTCCTTGACTCATGACAACCTATGTGTTACAGGGAAGAACTGCTTCATACTACCTGAAACACTGGTTCTGTAATCCACTCCTGGAAGCTGTCTAGCCAAGTGACTATCTGCTTATTTCCGTAGCAATTGCCTCACGAATAAAACTGTTTACTGAAGGCCTTACTTTTGTAAAGTCATTAAGTTTTAAGGAACATTTCTCCTCCTTCTAGGCTGTCACCTCTTCTTCCTGAGCTCCACAGGAGAGCCAGGCTTCAGACACGAACTGTATACAGCTACACACCCAAGGAAAACACAGTGAAGCATGTGTGTGAAATTCATGTGGAAATGAGTCCTCTATGTGTGGCCTTCTGTCTTGGTTCTCTGCAAAAACAACTTGGGTTTTCCCCTAAACCCTGAGGAGTGAACGCTTCCTAGTTTCCTACCCCACAGGGTTAGGACTGTGATTGGTATACCCTTGCAGTGATTGGTCAGTAGACTACGCAAATGAAGTATCCATAGCCTACTATGCAAATGAGGTGTCTGTGGCCTACTGAGAGCGCATTGGCCAGTTTGTGGCCCTACTGGGAGGAACCATGCCTTGAAACTGACAAGGAGTTACGCACAGAGCTCTGTTAGAGACAAAAAGCAGGAAGCAGCAGCAGGAAGAAAAAAGAGACAAGCAGCAGAGAGCCAGAGGCGGCAAGGAACCTCCTCAAAGAGGCGTGACACGGGTCAAGGGTTGTAACACTGAAGACGGGGACAGGCCTGGAAGGGGCCCTGTGGCGGAGTTAGCGATGACAGATGAAGAGCTGTGCACAGCTGAGAGCTGAGGGCTGTCCTGCACTGAAGGGAGGGGTGTGCCTGCCACTTCAGGGGAGCCTTCCAGACTCTGCCTGCGTGCTTCTGATCCTGGGCGCAAGTGGCCTGTTGCTTCCTTAACAAACCCCCTCAAAGGAAGTGTGGTCCGTGAGTTGTGTGTGCCCACTGCGACGGATTAGTGAACCCAACAGAGAAGCAGAGCCGCAGGAGGTCGGCTGGTGTCAGAACTGGTGAAAAGGCTGGAGAGAGGCGGTGTGCCTGTCTGCGCCTCAGGAAGTAGCTTTGGCTGATTCTGGTCATTCTCTCCCCTGAAGCTAGACAGGTGCTGATGCTCACACTCCTCCTTCACACCCCCAAAGCTGCTCTCAGAAAAACACACACCTTAGTCTAATACAATCACATGAAGGCACTTCAGATTCATGACTTTACCATTTCATGCCCAAGACGCAATTCTGTACTTTTCTCTACAGTCAGTTGAATACATCTCTGCACAGGTACGGGTTGCTTATGGTCAGTGAAAGAGAAAGACCCTCTAAAAGATGTACTGACACAGTGGCTATAGCGACGGACTCAGGCATAGCAACAACAGTGAGGCTGGCGCAGGGCCAGGCAGGGTTTCGTTCTGCTGTGCACAGGGTCACTATGCGTCGGAACTGACTAGGAAGCACCTAACAACACGTTGCTTAACGTCTGTTCAGGTATCACCCGACTGCACACACATCCATGGCCTAAGCGCCAGGACAACAGACCCTTGTCTGTAGGTCAAAGCCCTACTTCTGTCCGGCTGCTGTACACAGCCTGAAAGCCACCTAGTTAGTCTATGGTGATGGAGGCCCAGGCCTAAACACCCAAATTCGGTTTCTCTTGGCTCCCATGATTTGGTGGGTCTAGCCCTCTCCCCCCCGTTTTGCCTGGTGTGGTCCCGTGAGGCACCAATGGAAAGGTACGGCCCAGGCATCCTAGCCTTGGCTTGGGGGCTCTTGGCCTCCTTAGTCCCCTCCCCGGGCAGGTTCTCATGAGTGAGCTGGCCTTCCTTGCAGCTGGCTTAGCCAGGCAACAGCCAGGCAGGACTCGTCCGTTTGCTCGCTTGAGGCATCCATGGCGGGAGCTGCCCAGGCCTCATCCTACGTAGCCAGTGTGCCCGGGAGCCCCAGACACATGCTCAGGAGTTCACACGAGGTCTCACATATGTTCTATTTCACAGAACCTATGTTGGACACAAAGCTATGCAACCCATGCTTGCAATTTACAAAACAAAGAAATAACAACAGGTAATGAATGATGGAAAGTTCCATCAGAAAGTAGACTTTTTTTTTTCTCCCTAAAAAAAAAGGAAGAAAGAGGAGGAGCGTTTGTAAAGAAAGTTCCCATTTTTAAAACATTTGACGTAAAGGTGTCACCATCTGCTTTCACGATCCACCAGGACATGAGATGCATGTCCCTTAACCACGGCTTCACTTGCACCGTCAGGACGGCGTGCTCCAAGGTGACGTGCTCCCTCATCCGGTGACAGAGGCCGAAGCAGAGGTCTGACCCAGCTTCACAGTGTCTCAACCCCACTTCCTGTGTGTCAAGCAGCTTACCCTGGTGCTAAGGGATTAGTAAGTAGGAAGAAGGCAGCATCAATGAGACAAGATGAACCAAGGCTACACACGTAGGAAAGACTTGCATTTATTATGCTAAAGAACAGGTTTTATTCTGCATTTCCCCAAAACACCAGAATAGTACACGGCACAGTAATTCAGCACACGATATAAACTGACATATGCAATCAATAATCCCGGAAATGGGCATTTTCAGTCTTACTTTGGGACTCCTTAAAAATTTACACACAAGGATGACTTAATGGCCTTTATTAAAGTTATCAACCAATGACAAAAGGAGGTCCTTCAGAAAAATCCCAGTGTGAAGATACCTCACACCCCGGCCACTGGAATGTTCTCAAATGGAGATACTTGATTCATCTCTGTAAACTGAGCTACACGGAGTATTTTCAGTTCATTTTTGTTTAAGGTGACAGTGCTGGGTTCCTAATTTGAGAAAGGATTATTCTAACGATAAGTTTAATTCTTTAACTTTCACCTTAGGGTCTCCCTTTAAACTGTGTTTCAGTGGAACAAAGGGGTAGGAGAAATCCAGTTGTCCCGGGGACCAGGATTATTCTACAAAACGCAGAGATGGTCTCACCTTGCCTGCAAGGCTTGCAGGAGGAGGGCTGACTTTTACAACATCCACTTCCTGGCTGATCACAGACAGGCTGAAGGGCAGACACTGCCAGTCACCCTTTAGAAGCCGTGCCGATGAGTCTATAGAAAGAACATTCCGTTCAACGGGGTGCTAATCTGATGCTGACAGAGATCTATCCATGTTTTTCCGAAATGGCTTCCCAAGGCTGAATGTCCTTCAAGCACCTAAAAAGATGCTCAAAAATGTCCTTCCTATCAACCAGTGTCCCGTGCGTTGCCACGCCCCTCACTCTAAGTTGGTCTAGCTACACGACCAGGGCAGGAGCTCAACGGCTGCGCTGTTTGCAAGTGGATGTGGTGCACAGGAAACCATCCTAAGAAAACGCTCAAAATCCATTTCTCTTTATTGTTCTGCTTGTACCTTAACTACTATGGCCTGAGAGGCCTGCTAACTCGGAAGCTCGTGGAGCCAGCCAGCCCAGCGGCGCCTGCAGGCCACCTGGCGCCCTTCTGGCCCTTGAGAGCATTTGCAAGCACTCTACTGCACGCTCTGAAAACACAGGCTGTACACAGTCGTGGGAGACCTCTTTCGTCTCATCATTCGGGACGACTTCAGGCCACACATACAGGGCTACGGGAAGGATGCAGCGCAGGAAAGACAGTGCAAGCTCAGAGCCCAAGCCCAGAAAAGCACTTGGCGGTTCTTCCTCAAATATTCTCGTTCCTAACTGCAGCAAATTTCGTTCTTGATAACATGGTGGTTCCAACGACTGGAGATGTGCCAGCCATGCCCAAGGCTCCCCTCTGCAGCATGGCCTGTGGCCCTCAACCTCCTTCCTGGCCAGTCCCTCAGGGCCTCACCAACACCAAGGGGCACCCCTGCAGCCAGCTCTTCTGTGGCAGCAAAGGGCAGCCCCACGGCCTTGCCCAGAACCACCACTGAAACAGAGTTTCTTCTCACCAAGTTCCTCAAGTCTGGACCTTCACTCAGGTAACTTTTCATTTCCAGTGGAAACTCCTCCCGTGGTGAACTTCCACCTACACCAAACACAGGTGGATTCACCCAGGACGGCGTGACTGATGGGTCAGGGCCCTCCTTCCGGGTTCTCCTCCTGAATCCGTGCAATGCCGTGTCCGAGCCAGCGCCTCTCTCCTGCTCTGCTCCGGTGAGGTGCGCGCCAAGGGCCCCTCTTCCATCCCTCATGCTTTGTGCTCTCGGATGCTGGAGGTGCGAGGGCACACGTGGTCACACTCACAGACAGGCAGTCAGTGGATCTCAATGTGAACCTGGAAAAGATAATCAGATTTCAATTTCACCCTGAGGATGAGACTCCTGGGCGTCCACACGCTTCAGGGATCATCTAACAAATATTAAAATCTTAGGTACCAGTGTGTGGGGAAATGAGTCCTTTGTGTGGCCTTTTGCTTTGGTTCTTTGGAAAAACAGCTGGAGAGATTTCCCCTCCAAATCCTGAGGATTCTGCCCCAGATTTCTCCCACAGAGGGTTTGCCGTGTGTCCTGGGCAAGCTGTAAACAGGGAAGGTTTGAAACTTTGTGCCTGGCCCAGGGCTGCAGCCCGTCCTGCGATTGGTATGCACCTTGCAGGGTTTGTGGCCCTGGTGGGAGTGCTAGGCCTTGAAATTCACAAGGAGTGTGCGTATTTCAGCGGCCCTCCTGCCCCACAGAGGTCAGGGGACAGAAAGCAGCAGCAGAGAAGGAGGAGGCAAAGGACCGCCTCCTAAAGAGGTGCAACGCGGGTCAACGGCTGTACCACTGTACATGGCGACAGCCTGCAAGGGCCCAGCGGCAAGCTGGCAACAGCAGGTGGCAGGGCCGGGAGGATCCACCCAGAGGGCCCGAGAGGGGCTGAGACAGTGGTCCTGCACTGAACAGGGGAAGCTCTGCCTGCGCGCTTCCTGCGCCCGAGTTGTACCCCGGTCCTTAATAAGCCACTTTACTCTCAGTCTAGTCTGTGAGTTCTGTGTGGCCACTGCAACGGATTATCAAAACCAGAAGAGAGTGGAGGGACGGCTGGAGTCAGACCTGCTGGAAGAGCGGGCACCCCTCCAGCACAGGAGTCAGCTCTGGGCTGATCCAGGCCTGCTTCCTGCCCTCTGGGGTCACGGGCTCACCATACTGCTGCTGCTACCACTGTTATCCCACCTTCATCTCACACGGGGTTCCCACCTGTTGATCGGAAACAGAATGACACCCACCCACTGGAGATCACATCAAGAACAGTGCTGCACTAACGCAGCTCCCCACAGACGACAGTGCTGCACTGATACAGCTCCCCACAGACAGTGCTGCACTGATAAGAGTTCCCCACAGACAGTGCTGCACTGATAGAGTTCCCCACAGACAGTGCTGCACTGATAGAGTTCCCCACAGACAGTGCTGCACTGATGCAGCTCCCATAGAAAACAGTGCTGCACTAATGCAGCTCCCCACAGACGACAGTGCTGCACTGATAGAG